AGTGCAAGTAGACCCTTTCTAGCTCTGAAGCCCCCCTTTCTGAGAGATTCCCTGCGAGTGCATTCCTAGTTCCACCCTTCACCAATACAACCCCTTAAAACCCCTGTGGCAGTCATAATATTGTTGGTTCATCACAGTATTGTTGGTTGTCATAGTATTGTTGATCCCAAATCGAAAGAATCATAACTGGCGATTTACTTGTGTTAAATTATGTTTTGGAAATGACGATATGAACGATATCGGAAGATTTTCTAGTGCTTACCCCTAACCCAACTTCCAGCTAGCCCAATCGCCAACTGCGGGTCTGAGAGGACCCGGGGAATAAAGCGCCGCTTCCGATTGGTTTTTTTGCTCTAGTTCGGCTGGCTCGGTTTGTCGTGGGCTCGTTCGATTCGTTTCATTCGTGCTTTGTTACTAAACTCAAGGGAGTCATGACAGGAGCCCCACTAAGAAGGACCTCGTGCTCGGGATGGTCTGTGAGCTGCACCTGTTCTTTGAGTCGCTGGTGCCACCTCAAGTTAGAGTTGTCTCGTTTCGAAAGCTGGAAACTTTTGAATCGAAAAGGACTCCACAGGTGAGGGTATGATTCCGTTTCTCGTACGTAGGAGATACTAAAGCAGAGCTGTAGAGTTTATGCCTACACATTCCACTGCCATAAAACGGAATCTTTTGATTGTACTGGAACTGTGGGTTCCCACAGAATCTACCTTCGAGTTTGTTTAGTGAATCGAGGGGCTAGACCAAACGTCAACTTCTGGCGCTACCCAATGTTTGATATGGCGAAAAAGCCTAAGAAGCCGGTAATTAAGTACTTTTTATTTCGTATTTGCAGTCTTTGCATGATCCACCTCTCCGACCACTTGCACTTTGAAGCTTCCTGATAACTTCCATCATGCCCTACTTCTTTTCACTCTCTCATATCACTAGCTTTCTTCTTCTTCTCTCTTCTCTCTTCTTCTTCTTTCTTCTCATGGAGATCTGGAAATATCATTTTACAAGAGTATATCAATGGTCAAAAATAGTTCGAGACCGCGAATTCGATCATGTCGCCCAGTCGGTCATTGGAAAAGCACGCGAGAGGAAAGGGGTGGGGCCTAAAAACTTTTCACGGGGATCACTTCGGAAGGCGCGGGCTACGGGCTACATGCAAGCACCTTTGTAAGGATCTCCTTCCTCTTCATCAACAGTTATTTAATCTATTCTAACCTACTCCAAGTTACTGCAAATTGTTCGACGATTGAGTGTCTAGAACTGGACTTCGTATCAGATGCCACCTGGTCTTTTTTACAGAAACTTCCTCTCCCTTTCACGATGTTCTTGGTTTTCTTTGTTATTTTTGTGGAGCACCGACTTCAAAGCTCCTATTTATGAGTACTAAACGGGGACGAGTGGTTTTTGTGAAGTTTTTTCTATGTTTCGAAATGAATGAATCGTAGGCCCGCCGTGAAAGCAAATATGTTTTGACGACGGCAAAGATAATTTGACGGAAAAGCGTTTTACGTCTGAATAGTATTTTGAACTTCTTTCCTACTTGTGGAGTACCTCAAGTACTAGCCAGACTCCGGTACATACTTTCATTACTTCTATGAGGGACTCCATGCGCATCTATTCGGTGGCGTGGGCCCAGATGGTTCCTAATACGCTCCATACGCTTACCAGATGGAGCTTGAATACGGTCTACAATGGATAAGGTAGCCTTGCCGTGGAGAAGGGTTCTTGATGAGAATACATTTAGGTTGAGGCTGCACATTATTCGAAAGCTCTTCTGAATGGGAAATGGTCCCTGAAGTCTTTTTCCTCGGAACCGACAATTGTCCTAGAACTTTCTTTTTTGATGCGAATCTCTATAACTCTTTTTTAGTACTGCACTGTCAAAGGGAATCATTAGCGGCATGAATTGTTTCATGATTCCTCACACTCAAAATTCGTATTGCCTCTTTTATTTACGGCGAACTGGCACCACTATGTGATGTCTTCAACTAGGTCTGACTAAGCTGCCCTGGAGCTTGACCGTGGATCTTAGCTTTTCAACACTTTCACGCATTGCCTTACCGAGTACCTTTGACTGGGCATTTTCACTTTATTCCGCTTGGACAAGTTTCACATCATTTGACTCTTTTGAGAGCGCAATAAACAAGTATGTAGATGATATGGCGCAACGATGTTAGGCGGCAGTTTCGCTGAATTGAAACTCGCCAAATCAAACCGAAGCACCCCATTCCCAGAGCTCATTCACTGGAATAAAACTTGATTCGGAGGACGAGAACATTGACACTTCATCAGGCAGCTCTACAAGCTCCTCTTTCAATTCCCTATCATGATTTTCCTTTCGGACCCAGTTCTTAGTCGATCGCTTCTTCTTTGACAAAAATTTTGTTTACAGCCGAAGCGAAACGTAAACATATGAGCTGAACAAACCTCATATTTCTTTTCACTAAAGATCTTCAATACATCGAGCACTTTGATAGCTTTGAGCTGAAGCCGACTAGAACTGTTGACAATGGTGTAGAGGTGTTTTCGACTGGCCCTACACCATTCTGTGAGCCATGGAGTTAAAGTACGGGTGAGTAAAAGGGAAACGCCTTAATAGTGGTTACATTATCGAGCTGTTTTTCTGATGAAAATGCAATGAGATGATCTCATTTCATTTACCTACTGGGAGTGCGCCACATCACCACTATCCCATACAATTCGCAAACTCTTTGAGTGGAGTTCCAGTTTCTGTGCTATGATTAGTAGGACACAGCCATAATTTGATTTTACTGACGTTTGTATTTTCAATTCTTTTGGCTAATGATTCGACGTTGGTCATATCATTTGATACTTGACGGTTATTGTCAGACTTTCATTTTATTACGGGCAGTTTGTTGTGACCGCTGTATTTTTTATACTAAGGTGGAGGAGGTGCAGTGGCAAGNTTTCTGTGCTATGATTAGTAGGACACAGCCATAATTTGATTTTACTGACGTTTGTATTTTCATTTCTTTTGGCTAATGATTCGACGGTGGTCATATCATTGGATATTTGACGGTTATTGTCAGACTTTCATTTTATTACGGGCAGTTTGTTGTGACCGCTGTATTTTTTATACTAAGGTGGAGGAGGTGCAGTGGCAAGTAGCCCACATGGAGGAGGTGCAGTGGCAAGCAGCGCACTATCACACATATAGTGCGGGCTTCGATTCCAAGATTAATATCCGCTAGGCCAACCAAGCCTTCCACCTTTTCGGGGGCCGGTCAATTGGTGCCAGACTTGTCTGGGAGGATGGAAGCTCTGACTTGTACATCGGCTGACCATCGCAAGTCATTGTATAGGCCATGCACGCATTCAATATGCCCCTACGATTCTGAATGGAAATCGAATGCAAGAGGGCATCTTATAAGCCGAAACGACTAAAGCCATAAAGTGTTGTCCTTTTTTACGGTAGAGCTCAAGGCAGAGCAAAACACTCAATGTTAATGCAGAAGTAGGAGATGATTTTCAAGAGTTTCACGTCGAGGGCTCATGAAACTGTTGAAAGTACTGGGCGGAACTTATTAAATTGAACAGCAGATGTCCTAACCGATTTTTTTGTGATTTTCCCTATATACCCAGTTACCCAGTGGCTAGTCTTGGAGGAACAAAAGTCTGAAAGGTCTATGAAAGCCTTGGTCCCGAACTTAGCGAACAACTCAGTTCGTTCTTCTACTACCTAACGCTTTACCTTTTTTACCGCAGCATGGACTTACTTATTGCTTTTTTAGTGAATTTCATTTCAGCTGATTTCCTAAAGTCAACGGAGTCAACCTTATTCACCGAAAATTTTCTTTTTCTTTCTTTTATGTCTTCTTTGAAAGAGGTACATCCGGATACATCCGGTGTCTTTTTGAGCATAGCCTATGAATACAACTTTGAATTTACCCTTACTTTTAACAGTTCTCAAAACTTCTACCTATCAAAATGCTGGTATAAGATGTTCTCAGATAGGCTTAGAAAGGGTATTCGGATCCATCGTTTTGTGATTTGATTGTCTTTTACATGGCTTACTCGGCTCGTCGGTCGGCTACAACACTTTACTATGTAGTAGTGGCTGTCTAGTCGACCAACAACAACGTATACGAACACAATGCCGTCCGCCGTTGCTATTATTCAGATATTGGACCGTTTTTGAGCTTGTCGATACTGGCCGAGGCTGACTCCTCTGAAGACCGACTGACTGACCGATCAAGTGCAGAACAACCAGAACATTCATAAATA